ATGAACCTTGTGTCATTTATTCTTCAGTTGCATTTATTTTACTTTAACTTTTCAGACCTGTTGTTTCTACTTTTGTTCTTCATATATGCATTTATTCTTGCTGATCTTTTGCATTTTGAAATTGCCTTGTGTTTAAATTGTGCAGACACCGACTTTGCTTTGTGTGTCAAAGCACTTTGTAAACATCTGTTTTTAAAGGTGCTATATACATAGTTGTTATAATAAATATGGTACTTGTTTCCTGTAACACCATAACGCACTAAATCAGGACATATCTTTTGAAGTGTTTTTACAGTAGAGTTTAGAGACTTTTACAATCAATGCCAGAGAGCATATAGGAGCTCTTCTGGTGGCACATAGTGGCTCAAGTACACATCTCTCTCTCTCTCTCTCTCTCTCTCTCTCTCTCTCTCTCTCTCTCTCTCTCTCTCTCACAAAAGGATCCAATTAGCAATAAGACAAGCAGTGAAGTTGGTAGAATTCAGACTGACCTTGATGTCTGTTGCTCTACTTTCTGATGAGCTGAAGTACTTTCAAATATTTTAGTCACATGGTGGCTTGCTTTATTCACGTTTCTGCTCCTCACTTAGCTTTTTTCACCTTCTACTGTTACCACATCCTTGCTTTAAAGAAAATGAAAACAGCATCTTATCACCGTCAAAAAAATAATGTTGATTTTCATTAATTGAGCCAAAAAAGGCAAAAGCAGGTAAAGAGAGAGTTCATACATTGCACCTTCAAAAAGGATCTGCGGCAGCCAGTCGAGCTGAAAACCTGCAGGGTCTGAATAATAGTGATTTTCAGTCTTTCTGTTCTTGTGTTCTTTCACATTCTCTGGCCTCTTTCTCCTCCTGCTCGCTTTCTTTTCCAATCATCTTGTACTTGTTCCATTCATCCTCCATCAGGACTCATAAGGGGTTGGATAGAGATTGTGTCTGAACAAGCTGTCTGTAATGTAAACTGTTAATGGCTGTGCATCAAGCGTTATGGTCATGGCTGATGGATTGCAGTCTGAAAAACTCTTGTCATCCTCCAAAAACTATGATGTATGTAATGTAGGACATATTTTACTGAACATTGTCTCTACTTTTAAAACAGAGAGAGACAGATTGTATTGAGCATGTTGTCTAGATAACGTCTCAAAAGCCAAAGCACAATGTAACAAAAAGGCAGTGTGCAGCAATGGTGAGTGAAATCATTGAAAAGGTTATAAACAGATACATACACATATAAAAAGGGCATTTCATGACCAAGTCTGTCAACTTAGCTGCAAATACTGTTAGAAAACAGTGACCTGGACCCTGGCCTCAACACAAACCAACTCAGCTGCTCTGATGTTTTTTATAGCAAAGGACACCAAAGGGACAATACCTTTGAAAGATCAAACATTGGTGAGGGCAGCTTTTTACGTGGAGTGTTCCCCTCTCCTGTTTGGGATGATTTCTGGATTTGATTTGTTAACCATCTGCTCAGTTAGTCGCATCATGAGTGTTTGTGTGTTGGTCCCAAACGTTGGTCCATATTTAGCCGATTGTCTGTCAGACCTTGTCTCCCAAGCTGAATAATGCCAGGTGCTCTTCTGAAAAGGCTAGCCGGTAGAATGTTAATAATGCTGAATATCTGGGGCATTAGGAGCCAGGATGAGTTTTTCTTATTGTCCTTTGTTGTGACCCTGGCAGTATTACTCTTTGTTTTGTTGAGGTTGTCAGTGTTTGTGTGCAAGTAAGTGCAGACCTTTAAATCTTTTTTCTGCGTGGTCTGTCTGTTTTTTAAGGTTGAGTGTGCTGAGATGCTGTTGGAGTGGAGGCTGTACGCCAGATTGGTCCATGCACGGATTGAAATCTTTCAAATAGAACACATCTGCACACAATAGATGCCGTTCTGACAACTGAGAGCAGCAGCACTCCGTTTCTGTCCTCGATCTTTTTTCGAAAGTTTTTTATTAGGGCCCGAGCTCGAACTGTGCGAGGGGTTGCGGGTTGAATGTGAACGGGTTGGCCTCTGAACACGTTGATATCGCAACAATAAACTGTGACCATAGCGCCCCCCTACTGCAAAGAATAAGTACTACCTCCCATATACAAAGTCAAATTTGCTCCAAATTTCACATCAACAATGTCAGTACTGGCCTGATCACATCTACCCTAATACAATTATGCCATTGACATAGTGCCCCCCTACTGGACAGAGACGGTACTGCATCTCAGATACTTTGTCTGATCTGCTTCAAATTTCACAGGTATGATATGGGTTGTACGGAGCCCTGGAGGTGACATGGATGTTTTTTTTTTTATCTTGCGCGTGCGACTTACTGTATCTCACTTGCACTCTGGCTCGAAGGATTGGAGTGTAAATTATTATACCATGCTTTTTCTTCTTTCTTTATCTTTCCTCCATTATTGTTACCCTGCAAGAATGATCATACTGTTCCTAGGTTTTCCTTCTATCCTGAAGGATGAAAAAGTAGGTGTGGTATAAAGTAGATTATAGTTGAACTACTAGCAGGGCAGCACGAAGCAATACAACTTTACTACGTAAAAGATCACGGTTTTTACACAATCATTTAGCGATCCCAGTGTCTCTGTATGCGTCTGTATGTGTCTGTGGAAAGGAAAAAGAGGCCCAAAGCCAAAGAAAAGAAGGTTGATGTACTGACGGCATGTCTCCTAAGAGTTGTAGCCACTTTTTGTGCCCAAATTATGATTAATGGAAAATAAACAACCTTGATGTGGAGCCTGCTTTGATTTTTTATGAACCTCAGTCTCACTTTAGTAGTTGCTACATGTTTGGCAGAGAGCAAAGCTCTGGACAAACATTCAGAACTCAACCCTCATGACACTTTCAGACAACAGCCTTGACTCGGTGGACACACCGATGGAGAAGCGGGTTCTCACTCTCTTCCACAGTCACACACAGAAACATGCACTGCCAGACAAACAGACATCTTGATTATATCAGTCCCCTCAGCTGCATTCTGTATTCTCCAAGGATTCTGATAAGATGCCTCTGGCTTAAAATGAAACCGTATAAGGCTATGCTTCTAAGTATTTCTTTATGACGCATACCTAAATTGAAGAAAAAAATGATGAGACTGTCTCGATCCATTACAATAGGCCTGCATTCACTGCTACTGCTTTTCTGTACTATCTGCAAGATAGTAAAGGAATTAAAATTCCTCTTTACTCCTTAAAATTCCTCACTTATTATAACTTGTACGTGCGAGAGACTAAGTCGCGTGTGCAAGATAAAAAAAAAAAAACTCATCCATGTCACCTCCAGGGCTCCGTAAGGTTGGCCTCTGAACACATTAAAATAACAATAGTCAACATCAACCAAGTATTACATCCTATATACTTTGTCTGATCTGATTGAAATTTCACATGTATGATCAGGGTTGGCCTCTGAACACATTGGCATAATAACAATAGTGAACTTCAACCATAGCACCCCCTACTGCAAAGAGTAAGTACTACATGCTATATACAATGCTCAATTTCCTCCAGATTTAGGAGCTATCATGACAGTGCCAGCCTGAACTGCTCTACGTCAAAATTTAATGTGATCTTCATTACGTTGCCTATTTCAACATGCCAGTGCTACGACTTTTACACAAATCGATTTGCACGGCCTGCTGCTTAGCCACGTTCTGCTGCTGCTTCCGCTTATGCGGTTGCGACACACCCCCAAAGGGGTGCGAGGGCCCTTCATCACCGCTTGCGGTTTTAATTACTCTTGAATCCTGAAAGACTCACACAAAAATTACTAACTGAAACAATAAGCATTAGCCAACAACACCGAACACTTTACTTACTTGAAATTCAGGAACAGTTTGTGTCCTGGAAATGTTTTCTTTGAAAACCAAATGCAAAATCTGTAGAAAATAGTTTGGGAAATAATTTCTGTCTCTCTCTCTCTCTCTCTCTCTCTCTCTCACACAATCTCTCAAATCTCTGCTAACAAGCAAGGAGCAATGTTTGCAAAGGGGAGAAACGAAAGAAAGCAGATCGTTATATCTCAGATCTCTCTGTTCAAACAATGCAAGTTTAAATCAGCCATTCACAGCACGCAAACAGGTCTGTCAGGCCATGATGCAGATTCTTTGAGCGTCCAATCAGCAGAAGCCAAAGATCAACTACAAACAACAAGAGTTATATGGAAGCATTACAAATCAAGACATAAACATCTGTGAATGAAATAGATCTGTTGTGCTACAAAATATGTTGATAGTTTATAAAATTTTGCTCAATAATGTCAAACTGGCATACTTCAGAGTTCCAACATGTGTTATCTCAATTAATCATGTATAATTAATTAATCTACATATGTTCTATATGTTTAAAATCACACAATCCTTTACTCAATCTGATCAAGACAATGATTTATAAAATGAATACATAAAATGCTTGCAGAGTTATCTGTCTCCTTATCATTCCTTATTCTGAAAACTTACAAAGAATAGGATCAATATTTGCCTGCTCAATCACACACTTAAGTATCACACATATATCATCATTACATCATATAACATCAATTACAAACCCCATGCCAATGGTCATTCCACACACAAATACTCAATAATAATTTCACTTCAAAAATGCTTTGATCATCATAAAAACCCTTCAAAATAATCAAGCTGTAAAGACTGGAGACCGCTGATCACCACAATACTTCAAGGTGAAAAGAGAGTCTGGTGAAGGTGCTTTGCAAGTATTGAGTCTCTCAGAGATCACCTTTCCATGTCTTTCATAGCTGAAAGACATATCATTAAAATAAAAGGGGAGACAACTTTCAAGGTGGACAGCCGTTGACACTCCTGAGCATCTGCTGTGCAGAGGTGATGAATTGTGGAGTGGAGTCATTAAAGATGCTCGCTCAGCATTGTCATTCAAAGCAACAGTACAACTCAATCATATCATTGGCCATTGGCCAAGTACAAGTGTAATTTGTGACTGAAGGAGAAAATTTGTGTGCCTGGATAAACAAAAGACAACTAACACCAGGCCGGACACAGGCCTAGCAGCCTTCTACCACCATCAGGCCAGGCTTGAACTTAGCAGCAGCCAGCTGCTAACAGGCCAGGCTCAGGCCCAGCAGTCACCATCCAACAGGCTCAGACCAAGCAACCAGCAGGTCTGGAAACATCCAGAGGACTTACAGGGGGGCTGCCAGTGGTTGTGTTTGCTTGCAGCCAATTTAATTTAAATTGTTTTTGAATTAAGTGTTCTGTTTTGTTTTAATTAATGTTTTGTAAAAGAGGGGCAGATATTATAAGATTAATCTTCTTTCTGCTCCTTTTCATTAAAAAATTGAGATTTTATGTTTGTTTGTTTTTCTTAACTTTATTGGGTTTTTTTATGAAATAAAATTGACAAACAAACAATACATGGCTTAATAAATAAATAAAATGCTGGTTATGAAAGTGAAAATAATAAAATATCTATTAAACTTGGTAAGCTATTACATTTTAAAATGGGTAAATACTGTTAAAAAAATCATGGATAACTAATAAGAACAACACATATACATAAATGTCTTTATGTATACTTTATTATGTAGCAAGATAAAAGAGCGAAGGCTATGTCTGGTGTTGTGAGTGTTTTCCTGGCCACTTTCTCCAGGGTCGCCCTCTTTTTGCCCACTTTCCACGTCTGAGCAACGTTCTCAGTCTGAAGTTGGTCCCTTCTTCCAGCTTCAAGTGCTTCCTCCTCATTGTGAGGCTGATTTCTTCCGCCTGGTAGGCATCCATCTCAGCTGTTTGCAGGCTGTTTCAGACAGGAATATCCTATATGTAAATGTTAAATTCATATGTTTAAAATGTGAAATGTAAAGGCACAACATTTCGTCAAACACTTAAATCATTTCATGCAACAAGTTTCAGGTTTTCAATCATCTCTTTTGGTCTCACATTAAAAAGAAGAAAGGAGCCTGCTTGTGCAACCAACAGCCTCAGACAAAGATGCTGTTTCACCTGTGCAACTTATATATTACTTATATATGCCATATATTGAGGCTGAACCCATGAAAGCACAACACGCTCCTCGGTCTGCGATCATTACAGGCTGGAATGCACCTGGCCACTGCCAATCTGACAGCTCAATCCAAAGCCAATCAAGAGCTGCATCACCCTTCAATGGTGTGATCTTTTGGTCAAACTGCTTTTTTAAAACCTGAATGTTTTTAATTAATTTTGATGATATTATAGCCCAGACTTTATAAATTATACATCACAAATGTTTAAATTGAAAATTCAAAACACTTCCAGAGTTCCTATCAAAGTTCTTACCCCAGGAGCCCCCCTGCCCCCCTCCTGTCTGACAGGGGTAGTCTCCAGCCATTTCTTTTGTACCCTTTTTCCCCTGTTTTTGATTTGCTTTAGGAAGTAAGGTTTAGTTGTTGTCTTTTGGATTTCATTTTTTTAATCCAGGGTAAAGTACTATAATCTTATTTTATCTTGAGTAATCTCTCTCTTTTTTTTTCTTGTAGGATTGGTCTGAAAGTTAGATTGTATATAATTTAGAAAAACAACAAAATGCTAGACATACAAGACAAAACGGAGTTGGAGGACAGTGCAGACAAAATAATCCTATATAATCTACAGTAGGCAAAAGTTGAACAAATAAAGAGAGACGAAACATGACAAAAAGGAAAGACAAGGGGCACAGATGGCCTAGCGGTTAGGTCACGCCCCATGTACAGAGGCTATCGTTCATAATAAAGGAAACAGAGAAAAGGGAAAAAAGGAGTAGAAGGGATGTGTTGTTCGATGTCCAAGAGAGGGAGAAGAGAGAATTGAAAAGGGTTTTTTTGTGTGTAAATATGCCTCAATTAATGTGTTGATTTGTAAGTCCATGTTGCAATTTGAAATATGACTGGATGGGTTAATATGATGGATGGGTTTGGGTAATACTTAGGTTTGGAGGGCTAGGGATGCTATGAGTGTATAAGGGTATGAGGAGATTGGGATGATGGCTTTCTGGTCAGGACCAAACTTTAGTTCTTAAAGACTATTTAATGGTAAATACATGGAGATTGGATCCACGGCCATACTTTTAACAAACCTATCCCTTAGCAAGCACTACCTAAAAGTAACCCAGTCTGCAGAGGAAAGTGTTGACATTTTACCATTCTGCAAATTGCAGAAACATTTACCATATATGTTTCTGAACCAATTCTATGTATCATGTCTACATTTTTAGAAATGTGCATATCAACATACCAGATCTGACTTCATTGTACTTGAAGGAATTATGGAAGAAAGTAATGGATGAAGGCTTTCAAAACGGTTTTCTCCTGTTAATTAATATTAATGAAAAAAGGCCCCATGTAGGCAATTTTGATTGTGTTTTACAAAAAGATGCATTTCTGTTTGGTGTCCCCACTCTCCAGTTTTCATTAGGCCGACTCCACATCGCTTGTGTCATATATAGCCATAATTAAATCATCCACCTCGGTTATATTGTGTGGTTGATTTAATAGTCTTAAAAGCACTATCCAGAACTACTGTGAGTATTGTGTAATATCCATATCCAAACTTATAAAGACAAGGTTGAATGTGATGTTTACACTCAGCTGTTTTAAGTATTTGAATGCTGTCAGCATATGAAGATGACCCTGAAAGGATCAATAATCCACAAATTAAAGCAAAAAGTGTTTGCTTTTTGAAGTGAAAATTGTTTCTCCCGAGTGTGCAGTCTTTGTTTGTCATCACTGTGTCCTAGACTCCCATTTCTTTTTTTGTAAAGTTTGTAGGGTTTTTAAAAAGAGCCACCTGCAAGACACAAAGCTTTCACTGCCCAACTTTTAATAAATTCTCCCCCAATAGGAGGCAGTGAGAGACGGCTACACCTCCAGTGTGCAGGCAGAGAGAAGAGCTCACAAATGACTTTCGTAATGTGGATTAAATGAAACAAATCTTCAATAGAAGCTTTTTTTTTTTTTTTTTTTTTTTTTAAATGGAGGATATCCACACATCCTGCTTAAATGACAGTTTCTTTGCTTTGTTTTGCTGTAAATCGCAGAAATTAGACTAAAGTTAAGCCACAGTCTCAGCCAATGAATGTAGAGGGATGGGCAGAGGAATATGACTGAGCAGCAGGGAATCAGGGGGTGCATGCTGCATCAATAAAGCACAGCATTAAAATGGACTTTCCTGTTAAAAATTCCTGTTAATAACAAACGTATTAGGACATGAAAAGTTAGGACTAGATCCTTGTTAAGATGTGAAGTTATTAACAAAGTGTCTTAGCCCTTAAGAGAGCTCCTAAGGTGTCAAACTGTTAGGAGGAATGGGGATGACTTTGAACAGGGTTAAGAGTTTCTCTAGCTGAGGAGAAAATGAAGACATATTCTGCAAAACACTACATGAAGAATATTTTTGACTCATAGCTGGGCAGAACAGATTTGTGCGGACATTTCATTCCATCTCTGACTTTATTCAGTAAAAAGTGAGACATGCATGTTGAGTTTCTCTACATGCGCTTACCTCCACAGGTGCATCCAATCACTAATTAAGGTCCTTCACATGTTGCTATAACGATCATCAGGTGAAGAAGCTGCTGCACATTGAGTGATCATCTGATTTCAAACATCTTGTAGGCTATATACTAATAAGTATGTCACACAGATGCTCATTTCATAGTGTTCATTATTACACAATGTCTGACTAGATTCTGTTGTTTCTCTTTTTTTTGGATTAACCAATCACAGCTTCTAAAAAAAAATGTCATACCTAGCAACAGGGTCAACCACGCCTCGTCGCTAAGATAAAAGTTTCTGTCTCTTCCTCGCTCAGAGTTACTCAGAGAATGTTCCTAAATCACTCTTAAGCTAAAAATCCTTGAAGGATTTTTTAAGCTAAGTTATGAGCTCTCTGAGAGAATTCTCAGATTGTTTGTAAATACGGGCCCAGGTGTAGTGGAGCCTTTTGGATCAATTAATTGTGACGATTTCATCCCTAATAATCAGCCGAGTTGGCAACACTGGCTGTTTTCGAAACCGCATACTATACTACTAGTACATACTGATTTGGCCAAAATGCAGTATGCAGTATGTGAACAACTGTGAGATCTGCAGTATGCCAAAAATACCAGGATGTCATACTGATTCAGGAAAATTGTACAGTATGCATCGGACCAGTCTACCTCGCATACTGTTTCCCACAATGCAAAGTGCCAGGTCAGAGATCAAAATGCCGGAGCGCAGCTTTTTGAACTCGTCAGTGGCGGTGACTGAATATCTTGCCACATTATGAACCAATAACAAATATGACATGTTCATATATTTATAAGTCTTACCACCTCTGATTTTCCTGCTTTGTAGACTGTACAGTGCATGTGCCACAGCTGGACAAGCAGCTGCAATTACAGGGATCTTGGCTTGCTCTATTACTACAAATTATTCACAGCTGAGTAAAACCAGTTTAACCGGGGCCAAGCATACTGCAAAATAACTGACGACTGGCAGTCATACTACATACTACTGTTGAACTCAGTATGCAGTATACAGTATATACTGCATACTGATTTAGATAGTAGTATGTAGTATGCGGTTTCGAAAACAGCCACTGTCTTTGATTTGAGCACTAATGTCACATGTAACCATGAAAGCTTTTCTTAAAGGGTCATTCCATCTACCATGCCTCGTGAGTCAGAGGGACATGTTGATCAGCAAAGTGCTCAACCACAAGTGCACACTCTTACTCACAATTTCCACATACTTTGTGCGTGCTGCGGTTCTCCAGCGCTGCGCACTACGCTGCCACTCTAGGCAATGATTGTGTTTCCACAGCGAGCACCAAAGTCTGTCTCCGGAGCGTGCCAGCGATGTCACTACGCTCTGCTCTGTTTCAAATACACAGCGAGTCTGCAAGCACCTGTCAAGCTGTACAGAATAATACGTCCTGGAGAGGAAGGCAGACAAGGAAACGCTCACTTTATGAATATCACGTCAAAACAGGCGACCAACAAATCAACCTCAGATAGACAGATTCAGTAACAGATTGTTTGCACGTTGTTTTCTGTATTCTCGCGTGATCTTTCAGTTCTCCTGTGATGTGTGTACAGCCGCTCACGCTCAAAATACTGACCCAGTGGGGCAGGGTGCGCAAACTGAGTATATGGAAATTTTGAGTTAGAGTTGATATGAACAACCTGTTAAGGTCTCTGACGACACCCAAGCTATCTCCTTTTCCAGCTGATAGTACTTATTTACAACTTTGATCTCCTGAAGAACTGGACATGGAAAATGCATGTAAAGACTGTTAGTCTGGTTAGTATTATCAGGACTTGTTCTTGTTCACTTTTATATTTTGTTAATTTCAGTGTTTATTAATTAATACCCTGTTTTTATTGTATTGTTCCCTTTTGTTGCTGTGTATTTTTCTGTTCATATTCCTGGTTTAAGTTACTAGTGTTTTATGTGTTATTTAGTATTTGCCTTTAGTGTCATCTCCTGTCTAACCTCTTGCCCTTGCCTATGTTCTGCTTTATTTTTTATTTTCCTTCCTTTGTGATTCTTATTACGTGTGTGTATAGTTGTCTTTTTCGGTTTCCTGTTTTATATTGTAGTTCTAGTCCCCAATGTTTCTGTGTTTCCCTCCCTTTTTAATTGCACTCATTAGTTTCACTTGTGGCTTGTTCCTCACACCTGTGTTTAATTGCCCCCTGAATGTGGCCTCTGTGTTTCTTCCCTTCTGTGTAAGTTAATTAATCTATCTACCCTTGATGATTGTCTTCCTACTTGTGTTCCTATGTTCTGTGATGTTTCCTCGTGGCTGCTTTTTGTTTCTCCTGTTGGACTTCTGATTAACATTTTTTTTGGACATTTAAAATAAGTAAGCTTTGTTTGCAATTTGTTTAAATTAAAAAATGTGTTAATTCTGCACTTGGGTCCAGTTCCTGGACAATGCTTGTCCTATGATATAGGGCAGGCATTGTTTTAAAAAGAAATCAGTTTTAGCGTCCTTAAAGCTCTTTAACCACCTGCATCAGTCACAGGCAGTGTGCAAAATATGTCAAGAAATGCAAACTTGCAAAACTGCATTTGACAAATTACACTAAGCTGACCAAGTGGACACGTTAGGGTCGAAAATAGCATTATAAACAATGTTCAGGTGTCTTACTTCATTTGTAAACATTGGTTAGCACACAGAACTTTATCCTCTTACTCATTTGCCCAACTTTCAGAACAGCAGTTGATTCTTCAACATCTGCGCAGTGGTTTAGGACACTGTGTTCTGAAAAACTGTTGTTGCCCAACCTGAACTGTCTCCTTTGCGGTTTCACCTTGAATCTCTCTATTCTTCTGGCAGTTTTGCGTTCCTTGCTTATTTCAGGCGCAACAACCATTAATGTAGCAATCAGTGTAGTTTCAGACAGAAGAGGCTTCTATTTATATCTGAGAGACTGCATCTCTTACTTTGAGGCTCTGACTTTGGATGCATCTGTGTCAACTTAAAAAAATTTTGACTGTAGAATTGTATTACTGTCTTAAATGCATTGCATGTCACGCTTCAGTGAAAAAACATAGGAAGAGGACCCAATTGCAGAACCAAAAAACAAAATAAAAAACAATGCTTACTTATCAAAAAGGAAAACAAGGAGCACGAAGAAAAATACAGGAAACGAGTAGAGGTTAAATCTGACATAACCACACCGACAAACGACAATGAACTAATGACACAGAAGGGAAGAAACACAGAGACAGAGGATGGAATTGTCCATCTCATGTCCTTTCACTATCCACTTTATCTTAACCCTGGGGAAAACATCATGTGGTTAAGGAAAGGTGTTAGGAGAATTCATAAAGAAATTAAGGAAAGGCGTTGTTTTGACAATCCGACCGCATTTCCACTAGGTGACGTAATTATGCGACGGCGGATTTTAATGACGTGGGTCTGCCGTGGAAAAACTAATATTTTCCGAAAATGGACTACTAAAAGCGCATCTAAAAACGTTTCCCCTGTGCTCTTACTGGTGATATAATCCTAATAACCACAAGGTTGGGATTTAAATATAAGGAAAAGAGGCTACCAGTAACAAAAGTGAAACTTAAAAGAATGTCACATTGAGAATGATTGCTCACGCTCACCTTCCTGTCCACTAATAATCAACATTAATCCAAAATAAGTATGATTGTATGAAATTAATTGTTACATTTATGTAAGACATACATAATGGTTTAAGCATACAAATGTACAAATGAAGAAATATGTTGAATAAAACATCATCTGGCTCAAAATGTCTCTGATCCCTTTTTATTTAAAAGACAGTGATTTTTTTTTTTTAATGGTGATTATAATGATTAATTGGCTTTGCGTAATATCTTAAAAACCACCACACAAATCAGAAAACACTGGGATATCTAGACTTTATGTTGCTATGAATTTGCTACGATTGATACAGGCTGTGCATGTATAATGTGACAAAATAGTTGATTCCCTAAGAAATGACGATCAGATAATCAATGGCCCAACACTACCACACTCAATGGATGGCCAATAACGATCTCCCAGCTGTGTGGTATGAATCCAGAAGAGACAATAATCATTTACTGGCCTATAAAAGGGCAGCTGGGAGTTTAGTTACCAAGCAAAATGGAGAATGAAGAAGAAGTTGCTGCTGCTACATAGTCTGCCATGCAGCAAAACCAACACATAATCAGAAGGAGGAGAGTGCGACTGCGGAGGCTCATGGCATTGTGTGCAGAAATGGTAAGAGGATGCTGCTATGGATTTAGACCAAGATCAGAGCATGCTTAAATTTAACACACCATCAAAGCATAATTTAAACTAATCCCGCATATCTAATGTATTCCTATGTACAATATAGACATTATGTTTTACCTTACACAATGATAATGCATCATAAAGTTTCAAAATGAAAAGAAGACAGTAAAAAACACACTTTCATGTATTGACACTTTATTTTGTCCTTTACAGGAGCGGAGAAACATTTACGCCACCCCCATGTCCCCCTTGTTCAGATCTTTTTTGATCAAACACAGGATCTGCACTTTCACTACCGCCTGAGTAGGTCATCGATTGAGACCCTGATGGCCTATACTCAGGAGGGAGAAGACCCTACATGGGAGGTCCTCCTGGTGGTGCACTGGCTGGCACATGGGTTGTCTTACACTGTTGTCTCTCGGGTCTTCGATGTGCCAAAGACAACCGTCTTTGACATTGTTCATGGAATGTGTGACACACTTCTTTTCCACCTGGAAAAAGATGTTCAATTTCCAACCCTCGCACAGTGTGCTGAAGTAGGCAATGGCTTCCAGCACCTAGCCAACAGCCCAGCCTTCAGCCACTGTGTGGGAGCCATTGATGGATGCCACATCCGAATCAAAGCTCCCCACGGTCCCCATGCAGCAGGTTACCTGAACAGGAAACTGTTCTACTCAGTCCAGCTGCAGGCGATCTGTGACAGCACTGGCAAATTTCTGGACATTTTTGTGGGCTACCCTGGTTCAGTCCACGACACCAGGGTGCTGCGAAATAGTCTAGTATTTGTCAGGGACTGTTACCCACCAGCTGGATATTTCATCGTGGGGGATGGGGGATATCCGTGCCTCAGTACCCCATACCGGGAGGCTCGCTATAATGCTCACCATGCCAGAGGGCGGTGCATCATAGAGAGGGCCTTTGGCATGATGAAGGCACGGTGGCGAGGGACCTTCTTCAGAGCCCTAGAAGTGGATCACACCTTTGCTCTGAATGTTGTGGCAGTATGTGTAATGCTCCATAACATCTGCCTCACTGCTGGGGACATCTTGGAGCATCCTGTGCCTCCACCACCACCACCACCACCACCTGTACAAGGGGATGAGAATGGGGGTCAGCGTTTCAGGGGACAGGCTGGCAGCACATGCGTCAGCCCCAGACCAATGTCCCCCCGCACTGCAGGATCATGACTATTTATAATATTTCTAAGGTAATGCATGGGTTTCTGGTTACATTTTCTATCAATTCTGAAATTAATTTGCACTAATGTTAATTCCCCCACTTTCTTTTTCTTTCAGTTTGACAGAATGGGCTGAGCTGCCCGTCTTTCCTTAGTTTGGGTTGTTTAATTGAGAATTTATGGTGAGTATGTATTGGTGTCATGTTTTACCCTCCTGATAGATGGCTGCAGAACTTCACATTTGATATCATTCAATTAACATAACTGGACTAATTTCGTTTGTACGTTTCCTTCTATTTCTTATTTTTCACTAATTCGCCGAGCAGGCCCAGGAATCTCTCATTTAGCTCAAGGAGAGCAGTATTGGCAGCATCATCTTTTTTGGCCTGCTCCCTCATAAATGCCAACATGCACCACTCCTCTTCTGCCTTTTGCTGGGAGCAGGTGGAGGGCACGGACTCCTCATCATCTGAGACAGGCTGGAGGGATGACGAGGAGGATGAGGCCTCAGCAGCAGTCTGGTCATGGTTTGGCACCTGGCATGGGGCCTTTCCCCCAGAGCCTCATGCATGGCACCATTGCATTTTAGAGAATTCGATAGGCTCTTATCATGGCCGCCACTTAAATGCTTCCGGGTTATTTCACTCAGTTAGGAACCTTCCAAAGCAAAAAAGACAATTTGAACGCACCCTAAATAGACACAGGGGTAATCAGACACAGGTGAGACTAATGACACAGGTGAAGACAATGAGGGCAATCACACTGGAGGGAAACGTGCAGTGGAAGGAATAAACACAAGACAAGAAACACTAAGATACACAGAGAACTCAATAATGTAACGTAACCACTAGAACAAAGAAACACAAGGATAAGAAACTACAAAATAAAACACGAAAGACTATGAAACATTAAGACAAAAACACATAAGGGAAACAAGCAACACTAGGATGAATAACCACAGGGAAACTTACACTTTGAAATAGACAAAACACAAACTAAATAAGGCGGAATCATGACATTGCAGTATTTTCAGCTAGACAGTTAGAAAAGCAATAGCATTGAATGACATATTATGGTTCTTCAGACCATATTGCTTCTGATTTGGACTCATTGGTGAGACTGCATGTTATCATTGTACCATCGGGGGTCCAGATGACTGAGTTTCGCCTCATGCTTAACCATCCTTGCACTCCAACAGCTATCTGTGAGGTGATGCAAGGAGCAACCTAATTTCCCCGGATGGTCCTCTGCTCTGGGCTGGCACTGACAAATTTGTAAAAGTGATTGATGCAGGAAAAAACATCTTCACACGTCAGGGCTAGACTCTACAGCATGCACACCTACAATATGTAAGGTATAGGATGCACTAGGTAAAATGTAACCAGATGATTTTTTTGGATGACTAGATGATTTGGATATGGATTCCCTCGACTTCCCCTTGACATATCCCTTGGTCACAGAACACATTTTCATCCATCTCTGGTAATCCGTTTCCTTTCTTTTCATGACCATCCTTAAATCCAAGGAACCATTCATTGATCTTCCAGTCATCTGTTTCTTTATTATGAAAAACAAATATCTTAGGAGTTTAACATTTTACAGTGTGGCAAATGTCTGGCGTAGCATTACAGAAGACTTAATGATAAAAAGCATTCTCCCTTTCCTTGGGAATTGTATTCAGAACTTTCTTGCCACAAAATTCAATTAAATTATTTTGAATGTAAGAGCTCAGATAATAGGTCAGTCTGTTTTGATTTTCTGTGCCTGTAAGTGCTCATTCGGCAGTGAGGTGTAATTAGAGAAGAGTGCGCCTAAATTACCATCTTTAGTTTAAACCCTGAAGGATGACATTTTCTGATGCCAAGTGCACTGTTACATACTGAATTCTCAAAGATTTATTTTTCTCTGTCTGTTTGTATCTGTTGCTGCAACTGACAGTCATGAGAGTGACTGCTATTACAGAGTGGTGTGTATTCTTCCACTTCAAGTAGCAGTTTTTGGGCTCCATATTCCTCTCGTGGTTTGGGAACATGCTATGCATCATAGAGCATTAGTACTTTTGCTATGATTTACCCAGTCCCTCATTACCCTTTACCTTTCATTGGCTGCCTTAGCATACTGTAAGTATATGAGAGTAGTTTTCTCTCTGAATCCTTTATCTCTTGTGGCCAGTTTCTGAACATTAGTCTCTATGTCCATAGGTTATTTTTGCTGGCCACAAACCTGGATCATCTGATAGAAGTTACTCTTCCTCTGAATATTTTCTACATACTTCTCCATTTACAGGTTGTTTTTCAACATCCTCACTTTGTCTTCCTCCTCTTCATCTGTATTGTTACAGATGCCTGCAAGGTCTTTCACGTCTCTTCCACGTTCACACTCGTCCCTGAAATACCTGTATCACCTGAAGAATGTCTTGGCTTTGCAAAGTGAAAAGACGTTCATAAAAGATATCATCAAATATCATACCGTTTGTAATAACCACAAACAAAACGGTCAAGCAAACACTGTCCAATACAGGCCATACGCTGTTTTTGAATTTGTATTTTTTTCCCCAATAACAATTAAAGTTGGACCATTCTTGCTTTAATAAAATACAACTATAATTTTTAGCATTCAAATGAGTAGTAGTTTCAAACAGCAACAATAACCAATATAAAATCTACAGACCCTCACTCTGTAGATAATGGGACACTATTTTCTGCCCACTGTTTGCTCTAGTACAAACTTGAATCAATTATTCTCAGAAGCTGCCATTTAAAATGTGATCACACAAAGAGTCAATGGCTTCTTGAAATCTGTATGCAGGAGTCAAATCATGGTTGTGTGAAAGTGGCTGTGATTAAACACTTGATAGACACTCTGTGGCACTCTGAGTGGTGAGTAATAAGAGAGGTTTGTAGTTAGGCAGTACACAGCTCAATTTGGTTTCCATTAGTAGCTTTAGTTAGAGGTTCCCAAACTTTTCAGCCCGTGACCCCAAAATAACAGTGCTACTGTAGAGGCTGCCACTGTCCCTGTTTGCATTTAATGATATTATTTTGGTAATATATTGGGATGTAACCCCCTGCAGTTCGCCTACAGAGCCAACAGGTCTGTAGATGATGCTGTGAACCTGGCCCTCCACCTCATCCTCAAGCATCTGGACTCAGCAGGAACCTACGCCAGGATCCTGTTTGTGGATTTCAGCTCTGCTTTCAATACAATAATCCCGGCTCTGCTCCAGCACAAGCTCTCCCAGCTGAACGTGCCTGAGTCCACCTGCAGGTGGATCATAGACTTCCTGTCCTACAGGAGACAGCAGGTGAAGCTGGGGAAGCATGTCTCAGACAGCAGGACTATCAGCACTGGCTCCCCACAAGACTGCGTTCTTTCTCCTCTGCTCTTCTCCCTGTATACCAACAGCTGTACCTCCAGTCATCAGTCTGTCAAGCTGACGACACCACCCTCATTGGACTCTTCTCTGGTGGGGATGAGTCTGCCTACAGGTGGGAGACTGACCATCTGGTGACCTAGTGCAGCGAAAACAACCTAGAGCTTAATGCTCTGAAGACAGTGAAGATGGTTGTGGACTTTAGGAAAAATGCAGCCATCCCCAGCCCCATCACCATCGATGAATGCACAGTGTCTGTGGAGTCTTTCCGCTTCCTGGGGACCACCATCACCCAGGACCTCAAGTGGGAGCTGAACATCACCTCCCTCATCAAGAAAGGACAGCAGAGGATGTACTTCCTGCGGCAGCTGAAGAAGTTCAACCTGCCAAAGACCATGATGGAGCACTTCTACACTGCCATCATCGAGCCCATCCTCTCCTCCTCCATCACAGTCTGGTACGCTGCTGCCACAGCAAAGGACAAATGCAGGCTGCAGTGCATCATCCGCTCTGCAGAGAAGGTGATTGGCTGCAATCTACTATCTCTCCACGACCTGTACACCTCCAGGACCCTGAGGCGTGCAGGTAAGCTTGTGGCCGACCCCTCTCACCCCGCACATGGACTGTTTGGACTCCCCTCTGGTAAGAGACTGCGGTCCATCAAGACCAAAACCTCTCGCCACAAGAACAGTTATATGTATTGCTATATTTAGCAAAATAGAAAATTGAAGACCTGGAAAATGCAATTTTTTTAAACAATGGTTTGACATTGAAATGGGGTATGAGATTGATCAAATGACCCAAAAGTCCCTTTTCATAAAACCAAACAATTGCACCAGCTGGACCTTGTCAACAAAACAAGTCAGTACAGTATATCATCTAAGATTTTTTTCTCCCTGACCATCCAGCGTGTGTGGTATGGCCTTTTGGAGGTCAAGGAGTGTGTAAAAGTATTTATTCAATTCAAAGGACAAATTATGAAGAGTTGTTATGTAGAAAGAGTAGAGATCTGATAGTAGAATAGGATGAATCAATTCAAAACAGTTCTGTCTTTTGTATTTCTGTGCTGAGAGGTGGCTGCCCTTGTTCCTTTATGGGCCAACCTATGTTGAGAACCCAAATGCAGTGTCGCAAAAATATTTTTTTTAAAAGATCAAAAGGGCCAAAAAAACAAAAGCTTTCTCTTTCTAGCAGAACCACAAAGTCCATCAAAAGTCCAAAAACAAAACAGAACCACAAGGAAAGTTAACAAAGGAACACAGGGAAAGTCTGACAATGGGTGCTTCCAAATTGAAAAGTGCACACACAATCTGATAGAAGGTAGACAGTCCCTTCTATTCGTGCTGTATAGGCTGTTAGGACTTGTGCTGCATTCATGTAAGTAAGAACGGGGGAGATGTGGGAACGACGGTTGGTTCATGTTAATAATCTGGCGGCTTCATTTTGAACTAGCTGTAAACGGTTTAGTGATGATTGGCTGAGGCATGTGTAGAGAGAGTTACAATAATATAAACAGCAGAAGATGAATGTGTGAATTAATTTTACAAGATCTGAATGGGAGAGCTGATTTCTGAGATATCTGGTAGTTGCAGGAAACAGGACTGTACAAGTTTAGTGGTGTTGGTGTCAAAGGTCAG